TCACAAAAACCCTATGCCAAGTTTGGACGAATTTTGATTGGGATTGTCTTCGCGTAAAAAAATCCGGACCCAATTTCGACCGACGGTTGGAGTCATTTGATAGGAGCTCCGACACACATCTCGCGACAAGGTTTGGCTCGGGTCAAGTTCCAATTTGGCACGCGAGCTTTTCCGGATTACATTCGGGCGCAATCCGTTTTGGTGCAAATTCGTGACCAAATTATTTAAAGCTAGATTTTGTTTTTGTTTTATTTTGGATATTGAGGATTTCAGAATTACATTTAATATTCCGGTTTACAACAACCATTATTCAGCATTCTAGCAACAAGCTGTCTTAGCACCAGGTCGAATAGCCTACGCACTGCTGGGCCTTGCAAGCGCCCGGTGGGCAAGGACGACCTCTCCAAGGTCGCCATCGTCGATGAGGAACTTGTTGGGGAAGATGAACGCACCCTGAGCCGGATCATGTTGGATCCTCCGCTCCACGACAGCAAATTGTATCATCTGTTTGACCTTATCACACCACTCGAAGTAGTCCGGCCTGTTTTGTTCCGGCTGGGCCGGAATTCGCTTGCGACGCTTATCCTGCAGAAGGGGCCACTCGATCTGCAATGTGGTGTAGGATTGGGTGGATGGTGTATGAGGGGGGGTTACGGGTATATGAGCCAACTGAAAACGGTGATTTCAGGCGTCACTATCTACGCAACCGCAAACGCTTAAGCGACCAGGGAGTTAGATGAAATACAGGCAAGGGGTTTAGGGGATGAGCCATGGGTGTACAAACACATATCTTCATCCTTACCGAAAACAGGCCCCATGCCACCATGCGGCTCTTGAACTTGGTGAACACGACCCCGCCCCTTTTGAAGGAGAGCTTGAACGCATAAGCGAACAAGGGGCTGCTGAAGGGCGTCCCGGTGGCCTTGTCAAAGTGCCAGTTGAGGGCCCACTGTTCTGCATTTTGGCAGGGAGGGTATGCGTTGGAAAGGGGTTGCAGAGAAATCATGTGGGGGGGTGAGAGTCAGGGTGAGGAACACCGCACGGTGATTTGTAGCTGCCAACTGGCATATGGTGGGGCATAGGGTGTTTCCGGGTTGCGCATACCATCTCTGTACTCGTCCAGGAGTTGCTCGTCGTTGAACCACTTCTTTGGGTGTAGCTCAGTGGGCAGGCTATCCACGAGATGGGCGTAATCGGAGAGGCCCATGCCGGTGTATGCTGCTGGCCTTAGGGTGGAGTTGATTGTTGACCTTGTTGACGACATCTGGTGGTTGAAGACACCCATGGTAGACTTGTCGTTGTGCAACCACAGCAGCTTCATTGACTCGAGCCCTTCAGCAGACAAGTGGACAGCAAACGCTTCGAACACTTCCTCCGGTGCAGGGTAGTACTGGATTTTCTCCGGGGGGTTCAGAAACATCAGCTGAGAGCACACTAAGTAGGCTTTGTTCTGCGCAGGGGTGTGGGGTATACAACACGAGATGGGAGAGAGAAACCATCAGTTATGACTATGGCCGCGTCACCACAGGATGGACTGTGTGAACTTGCCACGTCACACCCTCCTGCTTCCGCCACGTCCACCAGCAACCAGCCCCACTTGCCACGTCACACCCACCCACCCCATGCCACGTCACCCCCCACCCACCTGACACGCGTCGCCTCGTCACGCGCCGCTCCCGTGTACCATTCCAAACCGCCACGTCTACCCCAACCCTCACATTCCGCCACGTCACACCCTCCTCCATCCGCGACGTCCACTGACAACCAGACTCTGTTGCCACGTCACACCCACCCACCCCATGCCACGTCACCCCCCACCCACCTGACACGCGTCTCCTCGTCACGCGCCGCTCCCGTGTACCATTCCAAACCGCCACGTCACACACTCACCTCACATCCCGCCACGTCACACCCTCCTGCATCCGCCACGTCCACCAACAACCAGCCCCACGTGCCACGTCACACCCTCCCACCCCATGCCACGTCACCCCCCACCCACCTGACACGCGTCGCCTCGTCACGCGCCGCTCCCGTGTACCATTCCAAACCGCCACGTCACACACTCACCTCACATCCCGCCACGTCACATCATCCTGCATCCGCCACGTCCACCAACAACCAGCCCCACGTGCCACGTCACACCCTCCCACCCCATGCCACGTCACCCCCCACCCACCTGACACGCGTCGCCTCGTCATGCGCCGCTCCCGTGTACCATTCCAAACCGCCACGTCACACACTCACCTCACATCCCGCCACGTCACACCCTCCTGCATCCGCCACGTCCACCAACAACCTGCCCCACGTGCCACGTCACACCCTCATGCATCCGCCACGTCCACCAACAACCAGCCCCACGTGCCACGTCACACCCTCCCACCCCATGCCACGTCACCCCCCACCCACCTGACACGCGTCGCCTCGTCACGCGCCGCTCCCGTGTACCATTCCAAACCGCCACGTCACACACTCACCTCACATCCTGCCACGTCACATCCTCCTGCATCCGCCACGTCCACCAACAACCAGCCCCACGTGCCACGTCACACCCTCCCACCCCATGCCACGTCACCCCCCACCCACCTGACACGCGTCGCCTCGTCATGCGCCGCTCCCGTGTACCATTCCAAACCGCCACGTCACACACTCACCTCACATCCCGCCACGTCACACCCTCCTGCATCCGCCACGTCCACCAACAACCAGCCCCACGTGCCACGTCACACCCTCATGCATCCGCCACGTCCACCAACAACCAGCCCCACGTGCCACGTCACACCCTCCCACCCCATGCCACGTCACCCCCCACCCACCTGACACGCGTCGCCTCGTCACGCGCCGCTCCCGTGTACCATTCCAAACCGCCACGTCACACACTCACCTCACATCCCGCCACGTCACATCCTCCTGCATCCGCCACGTCCACCAACAACCAGCCCCACGTGCCACGTCACACCCTCCCACCCCATGCCACGTCACCCCCCACCCACCTGACACGCGTCGCCTCGTCATGCAACGCTCCCGTGTACCATTCCAAACCGCCACGTCACACACTCACCTCACATCCCGCCACGTCACATCCTCCTGCATCCGCCACGTCCACCAACAACCAGCCCCACGTGCCACGTCACACCCTCATGCATCCGCCACGTCCACCAACAACCAGCCCCACGTGCCACGTCACACCCTCCCACCCCATGCCACGTCACCCCCCACCCACCTGACACGCGTCGCCTCGTCACGCGCCGCTCCCGTGTACCATTCCAAACTGCCACGTCACACACTCACCTCACATCCCGCCACGTCACACCCTCCTGCATCTGCCACGTCCACCAACAACCAGCCCCACGTGCCACGTCACACCCTCATGCATCCGCCACGTCCACCAACAACCAGCCCCACGAGCCACGTCACACCCACCCACCCCATGCCACGTCACCCCCCACCCACCTGATACGCATCGCCTCGTCACGCGCCGCTCCCGTGTTCCCTTCGAAACCGCCACGTCAGCCCTACCCTGCCCTGGTTGCCACGTCAACCCCAACCCGCCCCATTTGGCCCGCCACATACCGGGAATGGGTTTGTCTCCTGCAACACTAGCACTCGTGCCTTGTCCATGGCACTCATCGGCGGCGGGGTACCAGCCATAGGCAGGGCTGCCGACCCGCCGGCATAGCTGGCAGGTACTCCACGACGCAGGCCGAGCTGTGCAAACATGGCGTACATCTCAGACCGCAGCGCCTGGAACTCCTCCCGTGTAACAAACTGCTCGTGCTCCGCACTTTCACCTAGGGCACCCATGAGCGGAGGAAAAGGGTGTGAGGAATCCCCCCTCTAGCCAAGGGGATCAACGTCTTCTGCAGCAGTCCCGTGTGCCCTCACACTATCACGCTGGCGGGAAAAGGGGAGCTCAGGGAAGGGATTGGCATAAGTGCCTGCCTGATGCCCGCGCGAAGGACCGGCGAGGGGGGAGACCGCCCTGCCCCGGACAGGAGAAGCGTGGAGTTGCCGAAATGGGTACGAGGGTGAGGCGAGTGGGGAGTGCGTGACGGGGGCTGGTGGAGGGGATTCGGATTCCTCTCCTCTTGGCGCGCCGGGTGCCGTCGCAGCGACTTTGCTCGGGCCGGAGTATGGCGTGTAGAACCTTGGTGCTCCTGTGGATAGCGGTGTAACACTCGCTCTTCCGGCAGCCTTCGTTAGCTGCATCCGTTGCACGCTTACCGGTGGCCCAATGCCTGTAACGCGAGGGGCTGAGATGTAGAGGGAGTAGGATAAAGAAATTATAGTCAATTGGTTTCAATACAGGGCCAGACATGCATGCATAAGATCAACGGTTTGAATCTAAATCGGGTTTAGGGTTGTACTGTTTTGAGACAAGAGGCTTTACCTTGCTTGGCAGATTCGTCGACCTTCTCCTTCCCTGCAGGGGAGAAACAATGTGAAAAAATGGTGTTATTTGGCACGGTTGAGCAGATAGTACAACAACCACGCCAGTTGTATTGGCCACAATGCTCACCTTTCTGCTGTCCCTTCGGTTTTTTTGCAGCCTGCGCCTTCTCGTTGCCACCTTTCCGCGGGGTGCTTTGGCGGACGCTGCGACGTTTACCGGCAGGTTCTTTGTTGCCGGTACCCACTGGAACCCCTTTGGCACGGCCACCCTTTCCCCCTCCATCCCCTTTTGCTCCCTGGCTCCCTTGCTTTTTACCACCCCCTTCACTTTCGACCTTCACCTTACGCGCCTTCGGTTTGCCCGCTGCTTCGCCGCGCGTGGCGTCAACTGCCCCGCATTTTCGGGAATGGCAAGTCCGGCCCCCCACCTTCCCTGTACCACTCACCCGTCTGCCACGCCCGCCCCGTCCCTTCACTGCCGCCACATCCTCCTCCTCCTCCTCCTCCTCCTCCTCCTCCTCCTCCTCCTCCTCCTCCTCCTCCTCCTCCTCCTCCTCCTCCTCTGCCTCCTCCTCCTCCTCCTCCTCCTCCTCCTCCTCCTCCTCCTCCTCCTACTCCTCCTCCTCCTCCTCCTCCTCCTCCTCCTCCTCTGCCTCCTCCTCCTCCTCCTCCTCCTCCTCCTCCTCCTCCTCCTCCTCCTCCTCCTCCACCTCCTCCTCCTCCTCCTCCTCCTCCTCCTCCTCCTCCTCCTCCTCCTCCTCCTCATCCTCCTCATCCTCCTCTTCGTCGTCCCCCTGCTCCTCCTCCTCCTCCTCCTCCTCCTCCTCCTCCTCCTCCTCCTCCTCCTCCTCCTCCTCATCCTCCTCGTCCTCCTCCTCCTCCTCCTCCTCCTCCTCCTCTTCGTCCTCCCCGCCATCATTCTCATCTTTTTCATCCTCCCCAACATCCGCGTCATCCTCCTCCGCATCCTCTTCATCCTCCTCTTCCTCCGCATCCTCCTCTTCATCCTCCTCCTCCTCCGCATCACCAGGGTCTTCATCGCCCCGTTTCGGCCTCGTCCCCGTCGCTGCTTTCTTGCCTCTCCTTCCGCCGGATGTTTTTCTTGCTGCGGGTCGGCCCTTCTGGCGCAATGCTTGACCGCCCACCTTGCCACTAGCTTCCTTGGCGCCTCGCGTTGTCCCAACTTCCGCGCCTCCAGCGTCGTCAGCACTGCCTGTCGTCTGCCGCCTCTTCGTCCTCCCCATCGCTCTTCCTCTGCCTACGCCTCCCCCGTCCACCAGAAGGAGGAGAGCCACCGACGTCGGCGATGCTGTGGTTAGGATCCTCCATCGACTCGTGCTCCCCCACCTTGTCCTTATCAGAAGAATAGCGAGAGTAAGGAGCCATAGCTAGGGTTTACCTAGCTAGGCAAGCGAGAATTAGGCAAAGGAGAGGTTTGCACTAGCAGCAGTTGAGATACATGTAGCAAACCCTAATTGGGTTGTACTCGCTATAGAGTACCCCACTGCAGGCTAGACAATAATAACATTCTGACACACCCCCATAGTCAAAGTGGGGTATGATCAGCACAACAAGCAGTCATAGAGCAGGTTCACAAGTGCAAGCAAAGCTAGAGGCATTCACAAAGGGCAAGTGAGGAGGAGGAGGCGGGACTGTAAGAGGAGAGGAGATAGGAGGCGACGGCTGAAGCTGCAGACACACGGGCAACAGGAGCGGCTGGCACAGTGGCTACCGGGACAGCGCCCCGGACTACTGGAGTAACTGGCTCGGCGGCTACGAAGAGCGGCAGGAGCAACGGACCGACGGGCGACAGGCGCAGCAGGCTCTCTGGGCTACCAGGACAGCGCCCCGGACTACAGGTGCTGCAGACGACAAGACGGCAGCCTCCACGCAACCTCCCCCGACCGTCCCACACCCCTCTCACACACCCCCTGCTGAAACCCCTAGCTCCACTCCCACGTCACCCCCTTAGCACCACTCCCTCGGCTCCCACACACCCACCCCCCTCAGCGGCAGCTGCAGCAGTGGGAGACGGAGGAGGAGGAGGAGCAAGGGACGGGTAGAAACCACACCGTTCACCCCCATGCCCGCCACCCCCACACTCGCCACCCCCAAACCCTAAAACGGGCAGAACGGGGCGGGAGCGCGGGCAGCAGCGCGAGGGACGGCGCGCGGCCCCCAGGGCGCCCCGACGGGGCAGCGGGGGGCCGCGCGCGGCTCCCCAGGGCGCCGCGACGGGGCAGCAGGGGGTCGCGCGCGGCTCCCGAGGGCGGCGCGACGGGGCAGCGGGGGCCGCGCGCGGCTTCCCACGGCGCCGTGATGGGATTACGGGGGGCCGCGCGCGGCTCCCCTTGTCGCGACGACGGGTCAGCGGGGGGCCGCGAGCGGCTCCCAAGGGCGGCGCGACGGGGCGACGGGGGGCCGCGCGTTGGTGTTCTTGGCGACGCGACGGGCTCCAGGGGGGGCGACGCGACCGTCGACAGGGGGGGAAGCGCGGGTCCCCGGGGTGACGCGCGAAGAGGGAAGCCGCCACGCGCCTCGGGGCGCACGGCGGGCAGAAAACCGCCATGCGCCCCGAGCGCGTGGCGGGAAGAAAAAAGCGTCGCGCGCCACGGGGCGCGCGACAAACACGAAGGCAGCAGAAGCACGTGGGGCCCACAGGCCAGGACTTAACAGCCTCTGATACCATATCAGAAGAATAGCGAGAGTAAGGAGCCATAGCTAGGGTTTACCTAGCTAGGCAAGCGAGAATTAGGCAAAGGAGAGGTTTGCACTAGCAGCAGTTGAGATACATATAGCAAACCCTAATTGGGTTGTACTCGCTATAGAGTACCCCACTGCAGGCTAGACAATAATAACATTCTGACAGTCCTTATCCAGCACGGCTGCAGAAACTTCGACCACGGTCGGCTGGAGCAGCGTCAGATGGTGTTGCGATGCCTCCGCCTCGGACTCCTTGGTTGCGGCATGCTCGGCACGGGGATCGCCTCCGTGGTTTCCCCCTGTCGCCGATCCCTCTCTCTCCGCCGATGGGACTGCAAGACGCGTGCTCCCTCGCCCCGGATCTTCGTTGTCGCCAGTGGTGCCGTCGTTACTCGGACCGGGCTCGGTTCCAGCAGAGGCAACATCTGCATATTTGTTCACTGTAGAAACACGCTTGCGTGGCATCGGTTGCTTCCCCTTGTCTTTCGCCTTCTTGCCGGACTTCTCTTGACCGCGCTCGACCTTATTTGCCGCCACTTTTTTCAGCCCAATGCCACGCGCGACGGACGCATTAGTTTTTTTAGCGCCGCCACCACTCTCCCTATCGATCTGTTTAGACGTCCTCCTTGTCGCGCGGTGCCCGGCCTGTTCCTCCTCCATTGCTTGTTTACGTGTTGCACGTGTCATGGTTGTTGTAGGAATGCAAATTTCTATCGCGCGGAAGGGTTGAGCCGGTTTCGAAGGGGTACCGCAACTGAATCCCACGATGGGATTATCGACGGTCTATCACTGTTATCTTTCTCCGAAAACCGCCGCTTCAACTAAAACTGAAATAGTAGCCACTAAGCACAGAGCTACGGCCCATGACTTAGTATACTGGTGAGTCACGGGCGATCTGGAGCGGTTACTGTGATTCCTCCTATGCTGATTCTCGCCCTGATCGCCGCTCCTCTCAGGGTTATGGTTTTACTCTTGGCAGTGGTCTCATCAGCTGGCGCTCCACTCGCTCATCCTCTGTCTGCCTTTCTACCTGCGAAGCTGAGTTGTACGCAGGCACATTGGCAGCTCAGGAGGCTCGCTGGCTCTCCTTTCTCCTTGCTGAGCTCGATCACTCTCAGCCCTCTGTGACGCTCTCCTGTGACAGTGCGAGCATGATTCATCTCACTGAAAATCCTGTCTATCACGCCCGCAGCAAACACATAGAGGTCCGCTACTTCTTCGTGCGCGAGCTGGTGCAGTCTGGCTTCTTATGCCTTCGCAAGGTGGCCGCTACTGCCAACCTTGCTGACATTTTCACCAAGGCCCTTCTGCGTGCGCCACACCGTTTCTACGTGCGCGAGCTTGGGCTCACGCGTCTTGCCACTTCTGGGGGTGTTCCCATTCGCTAGGTGTTTTGTTCCAGAGCTTCACCTAGCCTGGGGGTGTGTTGGAGTAGGCTAGAGCTCGCTCTGGCCTTTATTTTGGTGTTCTCTTATCATTCCACCATGCTTAGAGCGAGTTATGCTTCCAGGTTCAATTTAGGCTCATTTCGTAGCTATAGTACAAACTGAACACACCCTAAGTTCAATTAGGGTTTCCAATTCCTTTCTAGACTTGTATCTCGACACTTCTTTCCTAATACAATTTCTCTCGCTACCTTCTCTCTTCCTAGCCATGGCTACCACACTCTCAGTTTTAACATCAACCATCATTTGGCTGGCTCGTATCATACATGACTAACATCAATTGTTATGCAGGCCCATGCATCGCTGCCAATCCCTACAGCAGACGACGCCAGCTTCTTAAGAGTTTCTCACTTCGTTCGAGCGACCCCTGACTATTTTGAGAGGCCATGGTACTCGGATGTTGCAGTGGAGGGTGTAAGGTATGGTCGGAGAGAGGAGTGGTATGCAAGGTTGCTTCTGTTGTTCCATACAAAAATACGTGGAGAGAGGGAGGAGCTGGCTTACGTTAGATATTGGAATGCAAGCGGAGAGGATACGGCAACAGGATGCCTTCGCCTCAAGTGCACGACAGGAATGTACGCGTACTCCGTGATTCCGATTGAAGCGCTGCTCCGGCACGTCCATGTGGTGAAGGCATTCCATCTGGACAGTACCTATCTCCTTAATAAGTATCAAATGTGATGCATTTATCTTGTAATAAAATGGCCAGCATATTTTCCAGCAGTCACATTTTACAGAAGTCAAAGCTAAGAAAACCAATTACAAATTCACAACCAATTTGGCACGCTCCAAATAAACGACAATTTACCGGAGTCACGGATTCGATTTCGACTCCGACAAACAAGCGCGGTCCGATTTCATTCCGTGATTGGTCGTGATTTCGTTTCGGAACTTCGCCAACCAAAACACCTGAACTGTACCCCCCTTCGAACCCCCTTCAAAAACCAAGGTTTTTTTAGGATGGGGCCCATCCTCAGCACAGCCTTCACCTTGAAAATGACCCGTTGCCCCGGCGCTATGGTAAATTGCGATGGCACCACTCTCACTCTCACAACCTCAGGGGCGTTAATCGTCACCCTGAAGGTCGATGTGGTGTCCGAGACGCTCGTCACAGTCCGCCTAGCAACGAGTTCATGCATTATGTTGACCAGCATAATATAAGGCCGATTCAGGTTCCTGGCTGGAACGGGGCTCAGTGGTACCTGCCCGAATGCCTTTCGAGCCAGCTTCATGCTCAGCCCAGCAAGAAAGTTGCGAAAATCTTGCTCCCCGGCATCGTATGTCAACCCGGGGTCAAGCGCCCTAGCGGGAAACACATGCCCCGCTCCCATCTCCCACGGCCTTGCCAGCTTGCCGTTCGCATTCCGAATCGCTCTGTTGCCGTTGTCAGTGCTGCCAGCTGTGGTCATCATGGCAAACATGACCTACGCGGGCGTCCAATCAAGATGTTGCTGGATGATCAGAGCAGCCACACCAGCAACATGCGCCGGCGCCACGGCAGTTTCCTCACCAACCTAGAATGATCCCGTCTCACCTACAGTTGTCCCAGGCGCAGCCGCAAGGATGTTGGCCCCCGGGGCGATGATGTCCGGCTTGAGAATGGTGTTGGAGGGGCGGGCCTTCTTCGGGCGGCAGACACTACAGCCCGGTGCAGCGAGAGGGCCCTTGGAGGACCATTTGGGAACCATGGGGAGGAAGGTCGATGCAGGGGAGATGGTGGCAGGGAGTCGGGTTCCTTGCTGTGTTGATGGTGCGAGACCTGTGGTGTTTGCTCGAGATTTTAAAGCCGTCGCTGCTGCCGTTGTAGACGATGAAGTGAGGGACTGGAGCACGGTACTGCATGGTGGGGCAGGGAAGGTGTTGGTAAGCATGAGAAGGGCAACATGAGATGCAAGAGGAGGGAGGAGATGCGACAGGAGGGAGGAGAGTGTGGAAAAGGGCAAGAAGCGATGCAAATCAATGTACTCTGCAAGCTGCACTGTGGGAAACAAATCATCTTTCTAACAGCTGCATGGTGGGGCAGGAAGAGTGTTGGTAAGCATGAGATGCGAGGAGATGGAAGACGAGGGAGGAGGTGCAGGGAGGAGAGCGTGGAAAAAGGTTTGAACCAAGGAAGAAGGGAAGAAAGTGCAATGCAAAGCTGCACTGTGGGAAACAAACAACCTTCTGCGTGGGAAACTTACTACCCCTGCCACTACCTAGCAAGTGCTCCCCGTTCTCACCTTGCCCCCACGCTGATATAGTAGGGTGCAAAGTTGTCGATGGCAGGGGCAGGACCATACAAGTAATGACCCACTGCAAAGGACACAATCACTCCGGCCTGGGGAGGGAGGAGGGGGAAAGATTCAGTTTTTTAGGTGCCCCAAAAAACTTGTTAAAGTCACTCCGGCTTGAAGGAGGGTGAGAGGGAAACACAGACAAGAAGAGGTGACGAAAGGGTGATGGGCAGGCCTCGGTGCAAGGAGTTGAAAGGCGTTGAAAAGGGTTCGAGCCACAGTAACTCAGTTGTGGATGGAGGGAGGGAGGGAGGGAGGGAGGGAGGGAGGGAGGGAGGGAGGGAGGGAGGGAGGGAGGGAGGGAGGGAGGGAGGGATGGAGGGAGGGAGGGAGGGAGGGAGGGAGGGAGGGAGGGAAGGCGGGAGGGAAGGAGAGTGGGGAATGAGAGCGGAAGGGCACAGAAGGATAGAAGAGGGGGTAGGGATTAAAGAGAGAAGAAGCACAAGGAAAACGAGAGAAGAAAGAGAAGGATGGCTGACAAAGCCCTTCTGAGGCGCCCTAACGAGACGACTAGCTGACATGGGGTTTACGATCAAATTCCGTACTAGTGTATACTCGAGTGATGCACCCACCACATTGGCAGGGACACGTTTAAGTGTAATAGAAAAACACACTCGCATCAACCAGCGAAGCCACTCCCTACACGCATGCACTTCATAACCACAGGATGCCCCCTCACACCCACCGCACGCCCTTCACACCCACCGCACGCCCCTCACACCCACCGCAAGAGCGCCGAGGAAGGCACATCGTCAAAGTAGGCCCAATTCCACTTGTCAAACTGATCCCAGGTCGTGTTTCTGTGCGTGTTGTCCAGGGACAACATGAGCATATCCACACCGTCCACCACGGCCTGATCAACGGCTGCAAAGACATCTGCGTCGGTAGTAATAGACTCCCCAGGGCCGCCTAGATCCCAGTAGACCTTGTAGATGGCCAGGCGTGCCTTGATAGCCACACCACTGATGGTGCCCCCTCCAGGCACCTCCACGCCGTTGTTGCCCGCTGCCGCCCTGAAAGTGGGGAGGCATGGGACAGGGAGGGAGCGGGTATGAGGGGGTGCGTGGGACAGGGGAGGGGCGGGTAGGGGACGCATGGGACAGGGGAGGGGCGGGTATGAGGGGAATGACCTTGCGACGCCATGCACATGCTCTTCTTCCTTTCCCTGTCTGCCAAACCACTTTGAACATATGCAATCCCATGCAATGCCATGCCATGCCATGCCATGCCATGCCATGCCGTCCCATCCCATCCCATCCCATCCCATCCCATCCCATCCCATCCCAACCCATCCCATCCCATGCCATGCCGTCCCATCCCATGCCATAGCATAGTGTGTTATGGCACTCACCACACGGTCCTAACTTCCTGCACTCACCCGGCAGACCACGTGCCATGGCCATCAGAATCGCGCGGGGAGACCAACTCGTCGTTGCCGGGGCCCTGTCCTCCATATTTGCTCTCAAAGCCCGCGTGAAAGATGCCCCCGCCGATGATCTTGTTGTTGCATGCAAAGTCGCTTGTAGTGCCCGCCCACCAGGCAGGGAGCGTGCTGCTGTAGCCTTGGAGGGGGGGAGGATGTGGGGTGCTGGGGGGTAGCCAGGTTGGAAAAAGTGCTGATGATAGTGGTCTGCTGTATTGGGACCGGGAGGCAAAAAAGAAAGGATAAGGGAGTCAAAGGGGGGGGGTGCAGACGGAGAGAGAGGAGCAGCAGCAGCAGCAGAGACCCATAAGGTGAACGTGCAGTGTCGTCAAAGGAGGGGTGCTTCGGTCACACGCCGCTGTCCAGGATTCCAATAACCGTGCCTTCGCCATCGCTCGGCGATCCAGCCGGAGTGGCAGCTGCGGGAGTGGCTGCAGCGGGAGCAGCAGCAGCAGCAGTGCAGGTATGGGGCAGCTTGTGAGACTTGTGCCCGTCGGCGGCGGCAGTGACGGCGCGGCAATTGACGGTGCGAGAGGGCGTGACGGACGCCACAGAGGGGTGCCGCCTCATGCGCTGCACCTGCGCTGCCGTGAGGGCCGCCGAGAAGCTGTTGTCTATGTGCACGTAGCTGAGAGGGAAGGGAAAGCGTACAGGGTCAGGAGAGGGAAGGAAGGGGGCGGGCGTGCAGGGGAAATTGAGAGAGGGCAGGCAAGGGAGAAGCTGTTGTCTGTAAGCACGTAGCTGAGGGGGGGGAGGGAAAGCGTACAGGGGGAGGCGAGGGAAGGAAGGGGGGCAAGCGTGCATAAGAAGTCGAAAGAGGGCGGGAAAGGGAGGGCGTGAGGGTCGCTGAGAAGCCGTTGGACACGTGCGTGTAGCTGAGGATGGAGGGAGGGGGAGGGATGGAGGGAGGTCGGGTAGAGGGAGACGAAGGAGGGCGCGCAAGGGGAGATGGGGTCAGTGAGGGTCGCTGAAAAGCTGTTGGACGCGTGCTTGTAGCTTAGGAGGAGGGAGGGCGTGCAAGGGAAGAGGAAGGGAAGCGGGGGAAGATGGGATGGGAGAGGGTGTGCAGGGGAAGACGAGGAAAGGAAGCAAGGGCCACGAGTGACCTTTGTAAGAGCCGTTGGTGGTGGTGTTGGGTGCAGAGAGATGGCAACCACGAAGGGTGGTGCCTATACATAAACTTTCAAGAGTTTCAACAACTGCAGCTCGCCCCCACACAATGGAGGGTAGGGAAGGAAGAAGAAACGACGAGGAAACTAAGGGAGGGAGAGTGAGGTAGGACGACAAGGAGGTGCACGCTGTAACGCCCAGCCATGATGTGTTGACGGATCAGGAAAGGGGTGGGTTGGTGGGAGGTGGTGGGTGGGGGTGCGCCGACTGGCCAGCAGCACGGCCTGATGCATCCACTGCAGCACGAGGAGAAGGAGGAGGAGGAGGAGGAGGAGGAGGAGGAGGAGGAGGAGGAGGAGGAGGAGGAGGAGGAGGAGTAGGAGGAGGAGGAGGAGGAGGAGGAGGAGGAGGAGGAGGAGGAGGAGGAGGAGGAGGAGGAGGAGTGATAACGGCCAAAAGACTAAACAACAGCTTAAACACAGACGTCTGGTCCGGCTTTTGCATGTGCTGCTGCAGCAACACGCTCTTAGCAATCAAGTCCCCAAAATTCTTCTCGCGATCACCTGTACACCATCTACCCCACGTCCACCCCGCTGTCTCTCAGCACGGCCTGCTGCATGCGCTGCATCAGCTGCTTGAACGCCCTCACGCCCGGCGCCCTCACGTTCACCCGCGGCCGCCGCTACCAACGGCTGGAGCCTCCAGAACCGCTGATAGTGGAAGCAGCCGCAGCAGTGAGAGGGGTACCATAAACAATGCCAATGCCAGTGTTGCTTGCAACAGAAGCAGCGCCAATGCAACCATTGCTAGTCACGGAGGAAGACTCGGGAGGTACAGCGGCATTGCGGGCGTCGTCGTCTGCTGTGGCGCCTGTCGCGTTGCTGTTAGAAGGGCCGCTGTACAAGCCAGCCGTTGAGGAGTTTGAGAGAGCTGCGGCGTCGGCGCCGTTGGCTGGATTGGCACCGTTGGATGCATCGGCACCGTTGGCTGCATCGTCCGCCGTCGCGTCTATCGCATTGCCGTTAGGGTCGCTGTACCAGACGGCCGTTGCCGGGTAGCCGGGGATTCAGCCTGTGTATGAGGCAACGGGTGGCGCAGAGCGCAGGCGGACGATGTAGAGCACGGAGCCATGGGAGGGGGAAGCTACGGGGGATGGGGGAAGCATGGCGAGGGAGGGATGAGGGAAAGAGGCGGCACGAAGGGGCAGAGCAGCGGAAACATGGGGTGAGGTAGAGCATGCAGGAGATTTGGAAATGACAAGGGAAGGGGGAGGGAAGGCTGACAACTTGTAGAGCGTGCAGGCATCATTCCGTGCAGGCATCATGCGGGTAGGCCAGGGAGAGTAGCAGGGCCAGGGAGAGAAGTGGAAATGGGAGTGAGTGGGGGAAGGGAGGGAGCATACTAGACTGAGGATGTATTACAAAGGGACGCTATGAGCCTGGCTTTTTTTTTTTTCCGCCTCAGATATAGGATGCTACGGAGCGCTGTGGTGCATAGACGTTTTCTCATCAGCATGGCGTTTCGGGTAGAGTGAGGAGGAGCAACAAATGTTGTTTCTCGTAATGCGAGTGTTGTTTGTGAGAAGCCGTAGAGAGATTGTAGTGGCAGCAGGGAAACAACGGTAGATTTGAAAAGAAAAAGGCAAAGAAAATGCCGAGGCACTCAGATATACTATTTTCGATACTCTGGCTGCTATCACTACGACTGCATAAGAAAGGGTGGTACCTTGGGAAATCAATAGTCCAGCAACGGGCGATGAAGCTAGACCGCCTTCTTTCCTGGGGATGTCCGGCCTTCAAGCATCCCTCCCAAAAGTGCAACTCCATGGGTCCAGCCTGGCAGCTCCCTCCCTCCCTCCAACCGACACGTGCGACCGTTGGGGAAATGCAAAACCTCGCGCCCAATCTAATCGACTCCCGGCGATCGTGTGAAGTCTTCGTACGTTGGGAGCCTGGCGATTCACGCGACGTCCAGATTCGTTCCCCCTCGACATCATCATAGTGCCAAGTCATGGTGACGTGTCATGTGCAATGCCCGAACTTTGATGTCAGGAGTCCGGACTCCCGGACATCCTATGAAGGCGATCTAAAGTCTTCCCTTTCTCCCCTTGCCTTGCTATCCTCCCGGACCTCATCGTCTGGCTGTTTGCTCTCTGCCCTGCTGGCACGAATGTGGTCGTAGAGGTTCCTGCTCGGTCGTGTGGTTCAGCTAGAATGCCTTATAAGGGCGTGTCCCACGAGTTCGTTTACAGTTCAAGCTGAGATTTGTAGCCCTATTTTTCGTGTGTGACCACAAGAAATTCGATACTGTAGACACGTGACTTAAATGACGCGCGAGACTGACGCGCTAAATACGTCAGGAGGTTCGTTATCACACGTTCGGGAGACGAGTTTTGTGTTGGCGGGGGCGTTGTGTCCATGTTTGGCAACTTCGTTTGGCGCAGTGCTGACGCGCAGCGTGTTTTTTTTTCACAGAGTACAGTCCTTTGTTTTGTCTAAGTTACGTAAAAAAACAAAATTTCAAAATGAACTCGTGGGACACGCCCTAAGTCACATGTAATACAACAACAGTCGTACAACGACTCTCAACAACGCACAATGACTCTCGATCAGCTCAATAACGCACATGACTATCTACGACTCTGCTGGTGCATGCTCTCATCCCAATTTCTAAGCGCCAAAATGAGTTTTAGATTGAAGGGTAGTTGGGGAACCTCCGCGAGGTTACCCATTAAGTCGCTCAAGGACCCAAGTGGAAACGTGAGAAAATGACGACCATCGTATACTTCGTGAAGGAATTGTACATTTTTTAACATCCAGAATGCAGAGAGCGTTCTAAAATCTAATGGTTACAACCTAATGGTTAGGAAATTCGCCTTTGAAATTACATGTCCAGTTTCGATTTTGGAGTGGCATACTTCTCCTGTGCATGGATTCTTTTGCGCTGTATCGTTTTTTATGATAGGTTTATGACTACTTCTACCTACATTTTCATACTCATTACTGTTGCCACGCTGTATCGCGCCTTTCTTCTCCTCAGCACTTTTGTTTCCACGGCTGCCATTCCAGCATCTCTTCGCCTCACCGCGCATCGCCCCTCATGACGCCTTCCTCGAGAACGCCGACTCCCGTATTCCTACGGTACCAACAGCCACTGAGATTAACACTTACCAGCCCTCAAGTTCGCCTACAGCAGCGCAACTCACGAGACCACAAGGAAATCGCCTTTTTTTCCTGTGCTACGGACATGATCGCATCACCCCAGCCAACTGCACCAGCACACGTCCAATCCGCTCATGGCTTCGTCACTGCCATGCAGCAGCTATGGGAGAAGACTCAATGACGCCTCACCACGATGCAGCTATGCTGAATGGTAGCTACGTGACCACACAGCCACAGTCAAAAATATTGCACTGTCAATATTATTGGACTGATTCTTCTAACGACGTGTAGCGTATCCTCATGCAGAGTGTGCTAGGCCATGAAGTTGACACGACAATGGCCAACTGGATTGTTGCAACCCCTGGAGCCACTCGAGCGATCGTGGCAACAAGTGACGATGAATCTCGTCACGGGATTGCCAACTGGACCTTCCAGCAACGACGCGGTGCTCGTCGTTGTTGATTGCCTCACAAAAATGGCGCACTTCGCACCATGTTGCACGACAATGACAGCCGAAGAAACTGCGCGCCTCTTTATCTCGACCGTTGTGCGACTGCATGGTATTTCGTCCACGATCATCAGCGACAGGGACCCGAAGTTCATTTCGAAAATTTGGAAGGAGACGTAGGCGCAGTACGGCACAAAGCTACAGTTCTAATCGGTATATCATCCGCAAACCGATGGCTTGACAAAGCGGACTATTCAAACGATGGAGCAGCTTATCCGTACGAAGTGCCCCGACCCTGCTCGCTAGGAAAAGCCGCTCGCCATGCTGGAGTTCGCGTTCAACAATGCCCCATCCAGCACGACTAATCACTCCCCGTTCTTCTTGAATTACGGGATGGACCTGGTGGTGCCAACCACGACTAGACTCGACAACCTGGTCCCAAGGTCACAAACCTTTGTGACCGAACTCCTGGAGATCCGCGAAAAAGCAGCTGACGCAAGTCGAAGGGCTAATACGATTGCCCGAAAATACACGGACCTCCTACGACGGGAAATCACCATGATGGCTGGGCAACTAGTGCTGCTTGACACGAAAAATCTCCGCCTACCCGGCTCGTCAAAACTACGGCCACACTTTTGCGGGCCATTTTGTATCGTCCAGATGGTGACACATGTCACCGCGAAGCTGCTACTACCCGACAACTGGCGTGTGCACGATGCCTTCCATGTCAGCCTCCTACGCAAGTTTGTGCCTGCAACGATGGACATCGCCCGCCAGAATGCCGCCCCAACAGCTCGCCCTGCCCCGAAACCGACACTCGACCCGTAAAAGTTTTTGGCGCATCGTGTTCGACTCGACGCATCTGGTCGCCACGTGGATTTTCTAATCCGTTGGACTAACCGCACTAGTGAAGCCGATATGAGGGTGCCATCCGCCTCGCTTGAAGCTTCCCCGCTTCTTGGTGATTATCTTGGCCATCGACGAGCTCCGGATATTGACCACCTTTCTTAAGGGGGAGGGGGGGGTAGTGTAAGGAATTTTCCCTTTTCCCTTACCGGGGTTGACTGCTACGCGTACAACCTTGCCATTTTGGACTTCGCACGTTCGGACGACATCCACGATTTCGAGGCTGCTCTGCGGCGCCTTCGGTTTTCCGATCGCCAAACTTGCATCGCATCCCCGAGGTTCCCTCCTAGCTAGGATAGTCACTATATTAGCACGTGCCTTCATTGTATAGTAAATTCATTGAATCACAGCCTCGTTATTCGTTATTCGTTATTCTGCGCAACTCTGTTTCACAACTCATAACATATAGACTATTTAAATACCATTACAACGTAGCATTCCAATGGTTATGATATCTACCTTGCAAACAAAATATATGGACTCAAATCCCGTCTCTTTCGCGCTGTGTCATTTTGTATGACGGGTTTACGACTACTTTATAGGACCTACATTTTCGTACGCATTTTTGTTGCCACGCTATATGGAGTCTATCTTCTCCTCAGCGCTTCTGTTTCCACGGCCGCCATTCCAGCCTCTCCTCGCCTCACCGCGCAGCGCCCCTCATGACGCTGTCCAAATGCCATCCTCGAGAACGTTGTCTCCTGTACTCTTCTTGTACCAACAGCCACTGAAATCAACAGGTACCAAACCTCAAGTTCGACTACAAAAGTGCAACTCACGCAGCCACAAGGCCCCTTTCCTCCTATGCTACGGGCGTGCAAGTGAGCGAGTGAGTGAGGCAAGTGAGCGAGTTAGTTGGGCAAATGGGCGGGTGAGTGAGGCGAGTGAGCGAGTGAGTGAGGCGAGTGAGCGAGTGAATGAGGCAAGTGAGGGAGGAGCGAGTGAGCGAGGCGAATGAGCGAGTGAGGGAGGCGAGTGAGTGTGTGAGGGAGGCGAGTGAGCGATTGAGTGAGGCGAGTGAGCGAATGAGCGGGGCGAGTGAGTGAGGGAGTGAGTGAGTGAGTGAGTGAGTGAAACAGGTGAGCGAGGCGAGTGAGCGAGTGGGTGAGGCGAGTGATCAGGGCGAGTGAGCGAGTGAGTTGGGCCTTGTTGGGCGTTGTTGAATTGAGTTAGCGATGGCAAAGAGAGAAATAGGCAGTAGGAAAGGTGCGGAGGGAATAATAAGAGCAGCTCTGGTACCCTCCTCTGATGTCAGAGTTAAGGCATCACTGCTCTGTGCACCAAGGCACCACTCCTCTGTGCACCAAGGCACCACTGCTCTATGCACCAAGGCACCACTACTCTGTGCACCAAGGCACACAGGATAAACTTGCATATAGGATCACACATGCCTTGAAGTTGAATAGGTTGAACCGTCCTGTATGAGCATGAACAGACAAATTTTGAGACGTCTCAAAACTTGGAAGTTGAATAAGTTAAATCAGTCCTATATAAGCCTAAATCTGAATAGCAGCCTTCAGCACTGCAGCCTTATACAGGGCTGCAGCCTTATTCCGGGCTGCAGCCTTATACAGGGCTGCAGCCTTATACAGGGCTGCAGCCTTCTTATACAGGGGTGCGGCCTTATACAGGGGTGCAGCCTTATGCAGGACTGCGGCCTTATACAGGGCTCCAGCCTTATGCATGGTTGCAGCCTTATGCAGGGCTGCAGCCTTATACAGGGCTGCAACCTTATACAGGACAGCAGCCTTATAAAGGACCGCAGCCTTATAAAGGACCGCAGCCTTATACAAGACTAACTGATTCCCT